GAATGCGAGGGCTATCCAGGAGATACAGTGTCTCAGGTAACTTATATTGCCTACGATTATTAAGCTAATGAAATCTACTTATAGTCCCTGGAACATAAATTTTTTGATTCCGGCATGGTTCGATATGCGTTGAGTCAGACGCAATGAAATCACAAATCAAAGCCCTATAGAAAAATACTCTTTATCAACAGAATTGAATTCAAGGTCGGCAAACGGTCGGTCAGTTCTCGGCCTGCTTTATAAGTATTTAAAAAGCATATCAGTACAAACATATGTTTATTACACGTCCATATGTGTATACATACTATACTACATTGTTATACCCTGGGAACGGGTGAAAAGAGTTTACTGTTTTCGTCTACATGTCGGCAAAAGGCAGAAGGAAAAATCTCCGAAAATTATATATCATATCACAACATTGAAAAAAAAAACTCATTTAAAGGAACCCTTTTATTTCAGATTTTTACACATTTTGTATGCCATATACATATATGCCCTGAACTTATCATATAAACGGAAGAAATTGCCGCGGCGTAAGCTGCTCAGCAATATGATTTTGTGTATATATTATGATATGACAGAAGTTTGGGATATCTCCTAGTCAAGTACCACCGATTAGATCATACTTAATTTTATATATTTTTTTATAACTCTCTGGAAACCTTTTCTTACCCTGAACTTAAAATGGGATAATGGCTTTGTATAAATGTATATAACAGGCTGAAGAAATCGTTAACGACCCCATATATATTCTTAACTTTAATAGCTCACTACAATAAGAGTTTGTTTCCGATCGCCGATTTTTTTAACAGCTGAGTCACCAAATTTAAGGGAATCTTCTAGTCGGCCAGCCCTCTTATAAATGGGATAGTTGTATAGTATAGTATAGTATATTTTATAGTGAGATGATTTGAATTTATCACATTTTCATAATAGTTTTCTCCTCCTACCTAACCGAAAGTTATTATGAAAATGTAATAACTATCTCTTCACTTTCCACGCCAGCAAACTTATAAGCACCATACCTTATTATAGCATACTAAACTGATGAAAAACGCACCCCTCTGAGCCGAGTGGTTCGACCCACTGTCAGTTAGTCAATAAGCGTCACCGTGGAACATGATCCATCATCAGTTGAGTTGAAAGCTGTAAGTAAACACGGATGGGCTGAGACTATTATTGAAATACGATGCCGCGATGACAACAGACAAAATGTTTGTTGTTTGTCCTGCGCAAAGGATGCTCAGATAGGCCTAACGCCCGTCGCACAGTACAATGGGATGTGCCGCTTAGGGTCGGGGAACAGCAGGCACCAGCCTGACAGATCAACGTCAGACAGCCCACAGCATGAGATGAGTTTCCAGCTCAGCTTGCGATCGGCACGCGACACTCAGAAAGCTGCCGCGCTGGCTGATGATACTTCACATATTTTTCAATATATGCAACGCCGCAGGATCGCGTCAGTTATTAAAAATGATGAGCGTCCAGTTTGGCGTTGGGTCGTTAATGGTTTTCTCGCGAGCTTATCAACGTGTTTTCATCGACTACCGACTTTCAGTTAGCGCCCACGCGCCGCACGCAATTTCCTTCTCTATGCTAATTAGACGAAAGTCATTTTCCAATTCAATTCCCAACCCCCTCAGCCGCTCGCCCTAGATGCATGCCATGCGCCATGAATTTGGATAATATGCCAGTCTGGCACGAGCGTAACGTTGATAAGCATAAAGTTGTACATATTTTGTTGTTTTGTATTTATTTTGAAAGTATGTAACTTTCCCATTATTTGGCATGTGGGCTGGTGGATAAGGCAGATTAGGGGACTGTGGTTGCGCTTACCAGAAGGTTGACTAACTAGACCTATATTTAGGTGTGGGTCACTCTGGCTTTAAGCCAAATAAGCAACAAGTAAATGTGCTATACTGAAGACTGTCCGAATACGAGATACCCTGTAGCCGGTAACTAGAATGTTTGTTACAGGTAAGTGAAGCCTGGAATTCTCGTCTCGCTCGCTTGAATTATTGTGTCAGAAGGCTGATATCATTAATGTCACTCACAATATAGCTTCCATTTTGGCCTTTGTGTATAATGAAGTAAAGTAAGTAAAGTAAGTAATAATATTAAACTGCATTTAATTTAAATGATCAAAGTAATTATTATCAGCTTTTTAGGTCAGATATTGACTCGAACAGTAAGCCGTAACAATAAAATATAACATCTGATACGTGTTTCACACTTTTCGCTAAATCTAATTTTCTCGGATGAACGGATAAACGCAGGTCAAAAGTTGAATGCACGAAGTTTCGGGTGGAAGCTAATACACAAGGATCGATGGCAAGTGCAGGTCAAATATTTTTTGGGGGAAGCCTAAAGTGACTTTCAATACATACTATGACTATGATCAAATTTGACTATGAAATTTGTCTAACGAAAAGCAAAACTATAGTTAACCTGGGTTTCTCTGTTATATGCATACTTTTGTACAACTCGCTTTCAATTCTCTTTCAAAGTTTAAACCTTAGCGTATCTTGATTTTTGGTAACTAGATTTAACCCACTTACGCCCAAACACACACACACACACACTGACAATATTTCACCCAAATATCTGTACATGGCGCATTTCCCACACCCACAACAACTGAAAATATGTATGCAAGCCAATCCAATGACCATCTGCTGAGCTTAACCCAATAAATAGCTGGCATAGTTGCTAGAGCTGCAAGCCAGGGTTCAGCTCTGGCTGCCACATAGAGCGGCCGAGTGAGTCATAAATTGTGAAATGCAATGCACATTATCCTCGGCGCAAGATACCAAAAAGCCAAAGAGCTCCAGCTCAGACAGGCCAAGAGCTGAGCTGCGAGACAGCCTGGTGGACACTTTCTGGCAAACAGTTGGCACCTAGTTCAAAGCAGTTGTAGTTGTTGTTGTAGCTGTTGTTGTTGTTGCAGTTGCTGTTGTTGCTGCCTGTGTTATTTATGAGTTTTGTGATGTTTCTGCAAATTTTTCTATGTAAGAGACTCCTTTGTTTTTGCAAGCTTCGAGCTTAGTTGAAGTTGCGCCTTATCGAACGTCAATTGCGCAGACAACTTCATTGTAAGACCAAAAGATTCCTGCGCATTGATGTTGACAGCAGGAGTTCCAAGCACGCGTCGTCGTCAGAAACCACAGAAGGAAGTTGCTTGCGGTTCGCTTCGGGTCTGCGCTTGGCTTGGCTCAAACGGTCTCGACCAGACATTTCGGTGCCAGTTGCCCAGAAATCTAATTACATTTTGTGGCCAAAGGCGCTGTGAAATTTCGCTAGTGTTTGAGCGATTTCCATCAGTCAATAAAAACTGCGCTTCAAGCCAACTCGTGCGCATGCGTCGAGTTGGACACAGCAGGCATTTGGCCCAGCGGCAACATCTGATATGCCTCCGTTGGCGACTGGAGGCACTCACAACTTTATTTGCGCTGGATTTCGCGGAAATCGAAATCTTCCCCAGGCTCGAAATATTTCGCTGGAAATTGGAATGCCAATTCAATACGACAAGAGCTTTCTGTTTGTTGGTTTGTCTGGTTTGCCTGTTTGTTTGCTTCGCCTTGGCTATACTTCACGAGGCGTCTAACAATTTGTTGAAACGTGCTCCTGGGCGGAAAGGCAGACAGACATGAGTAGCATATGTGCTGTGCTGACAAGCCAAACAATTAAAACTAAAGTGGAAACGATCAAAATGTGCAACCCCGGTACACAGATCTATTGCCGCAGATATAGTCCAGGCAAACCGCACTCCCTGGCAATTTGCATAAATTAATATATTAACCGTAGTCCAACTGGTTGGACCGTCCCAACACCCTCACAGGACCTCTCAGCGATGATGATGCCATGGCGTGACTCATAGCGTGGTGGAATTCTCGAATTGAATCGACTCGCCGACAATTGCCAATTGGCATTCGGATGTTCAGCGTCATGTGTTCCATATGCTAATGAGTCGAGCAGCGTGCAGGATACTCTACCAGGTCCAATACGATATGGGGCGATGATGAGCCGGCAGCTCGCTTTCGAAATTGTCATGCTGTCAAGCGTAACCAAACTCCGATAAGAGCAATAAAAATGAAAATAGGTTGCGAGTGGCCCAGAAAAGCAACAATGGCTTTCGTAACATCTGTGAGCTGCCAGAAATGGCAGAGTTTCGGTGTGTGTATGAGTGTGTGTGGCATTCGATGAGAGGCTACACTTAGCGAAAACTATGTTGTCATTTCAGAACTTGAAGGTCAGCATATTGACGTTATGATATTAATGTAAATGCCATGATAATATGAATATGATCAATGCTATTAACATAATATAAATAAATTAAATAAAAGAACTGCTGAAGGGAAGATATTTTCACGAATTCCAACGATATAAGGGTATTTTAATTGTTTACATTTGAAAATTAAATCCTTTCAATATTTTGATGACAGTTTAAGAACTGAGCAAGAAAGTTTAAAAGTGAGATTCTCTGACAATAAAATATTTGTTATCTGTCACTTAATTAAAATATAGTAATTTTAAATAACATATATCATAAGCTCTCACTCACTTCTCGTAATTGTAATTTCACCACTTTAATGAAACCCTCAAATGTACTAAATGCTCAATTATTTCTCTCAGTGCATGCTGTGGCACGCGATCAGTGGCAGGCCATAATGCACGACACGTACCAATGCTATCGACTCGGACTGACTTAATATATGCACCCACACAGTGATGACACGCATACCTACCAAAATAAAAATAAAAAACAAAATACATAAACAACATTGGGGGAGCGACACATCAAATTGGAACTGAAAATTATGCCAATTGGTTTATCACTTGGCAACTGAAAAACAAGCAACATCTGAGGGGCAGACAATTGCAGTGAATTAAAAAACGCAACATTTTGAATGCCAAATTGCATGCATTTTATAGAAATAAAGATAGGGAATAATCGTGCAGTTGGGTACAGCTGTGTTGTCCTTTTAGATGTACTGACTGAGTCAGCGCTCCTTGGTCTGACGTCGCCAGTTGAGGGGAAACAGGCGCTTCCAGATCTCATAGCGTGCAGCATTGAGGCCCTCCTGCAAGATGAGCTCGTCGCCAATGTCCAGATAGTAGCGCTTCTTAAAGCTGAAGGGGCGCCAGCGAATGTTGCGCAGCTTCTCGTCGCTGGGCTTATTGGGATCCCTGTGAAAGTATGTCCTTTTCAATGAAGGCTTCACTTCTAATATCTACCGTACGAACCCCTTGTACGCAAAGGCCGAGAACATGCGTGTCATGATGTCGACCATGCGAAACTCATCGTCGTCCTCCGTAAACATGCGACTGATCGATGGCTCCACAAATAAATACATTAGATCATCGTGATGCACTATGCCGTAGGGCGCATCCTCCGGATAATGTATGTGGCTGCGTCCACCCTGATAGGCAAAGCGATAGTAGTAGACCTTGGTGGAACGCGCAGCCAGATGCACGAAGCGGTGTACGCCAAAGCCCGTCAGTGCATCCGAGTAGAGTGTGGCCAGAGACTGGAGCGAGCTATTCGCCTCGAGCGGCAAATGGCCAAAATAATGTTGTCGCAATTCCTGACTTATGTTCTGGGCACGTGGACTGCTGGCATTGTACAGGAAGCAGATAGGTGCCAGAGCCTCAAAGTTGTCATTAAAGGCGCCGAGCAAGGTGGGACTCTGCAGAATGGCTAAGAGTTCAAAGTGAATCAATTAGGATGCAAGAGAATCACATCTCTGCCTGCCACTCACATATAGCTGGGCCCACAAACTCATCCTTGGTCATGCCCGTTATGATGGGTATCTTCATAAAGTCGCCGTTCTGATAGCTGCGCACGGGATCCTCAATGAGAAAACGCTCCTGTCCAAAGTCCGGCTCCACCACGGGCTTCCACAATATCAGCGGATTGTTGCGTCCAAAGTCAAACATGCGTGGCAGGGTATTTGCATATTCCAAATAGTGTTTCTGTGTAGAAGACCTTTAAATGTTGCCCAACTGTTTTCATGTTTGAAGCTCACCCCACGCAGGCAGTTCAGCATTTCGTCCGTGTCCTCTGTGTCGCACTGTAGCAGTGCGGCCTGCTTTTTGGCCACGTCCATTTGATGCTCCGGCAGCGACCACTGGCCCGTTGCGGCGCCACTCATCACAATGGCGCGATGGAACAGGCCCTGCGACATGGGCGACACCATGTGCAGCGTTATGGCCATGGCACCAGCTCCATAGCCCAGCAGTGTAATCGCGTTTGGATCACCGCCAAAGCGTGAAATATGCAGCTTTAACCAGCGCAGCATCTGCACCTGGTCCTTGAGACCCATATTGCCCGGCGCCTGCTGCGTGCCTGTGGCCAGGAATCCCAGTGTGCCCAGGCGATAGTTAAAGGTGACCAGCACCAGGTTACGATCCATGAAATACTGGGGACCCGCAAAGTTCTTGCTCTGGCCAGACAGCGAGTAGAAGCCACCAGGATGTATGAACACAATGACGGGCTTCTTGGGGTTCGGGCGCGACTCAGTGGGCAGGTCGCGTGAGTAGATGTTTAGTCTGAGGCAATCCTCGCTCACATCGTCACTGAATAGACCCGGCTGCGGGCACTTGGGTCCGTCGAAGGTGGCATCGAATATGTCGAACCATTGCTCTACCGGCTCCGGCGGCTTGAAGCGTAGATTGTCCACGGGCGCCTTGGCATAGGGTATGCCCCGGAACGCATAAAAATTGCGACCTGCCTGTGAAGGCAATATGGTGCCACGGATTTTGCCCAATGCTGTGGTGATGACCAGATCCGAAAGCTCCTTATCGCTGCCGATGGGCACGTCCTCATCCTCATCCAGTGCCTTGGCCAGTTCGCTGCAAATGCCACTGCCAAGGAGCAGCAGCAATCCAAACAGTTTCCACATTCTCTGCGCGCTGTGGAAACACGACTGTGGAGGCTGGGGATGCAGCTCCAGGCTTTTATAGCCCCCAACCTGACACCTGGTTTATGTCACATAAAGTGCGCAAATTGATGATATTCCGACTGCAGCTCGGCGTGGGCGTTCGCTGTTGCTTCCTTGTTCTGTAAGCTCTTCCCATGTCCAATTGCGAGAATGCCCGCCTGCCCATGTAGTCCATAAATAACGAACACGCTGTCTGGTGGTTCTTTCAATATTCCTTCAGCTCTTCCCACACACACCCAGTCCTTCCTGGCAGCAATCCCAATCGGCCAATCGCCCAATCGGCCTGCCCAACGCAACCCACGCACATTTCTTCTGAATGCTTCAGTTGTGTATTTCTCCATTAATTTGTTATTGCTCCAATTTTCCCACGTGAACTTGTTTGCGTGTTTGCGGCTTATTAGATTAGCAGCGCATTTAGACACCCTGCTCGCCGCCCTCGGCCCTAACCTCTCGGTGACCTACCCAAAAAACAAAAGCGGAATACACAACAGCAGAAAGTGATCCTTAAATGCTCGCTAATAGCGTTTAATGGTGAGCATAAAAGGTGAGCACAAGTCATAAAGTTCTGCAGCGCAAGATGATGATGACACACCCCTCCGAGCCCAGCCAAGGAGTCCCAAAACTGCCTGAGAGACCGCAGATCCAGCCGAGAACTGCGTTAAGTGTTCCTTTGTGCTCTTCTTCCGTTGGTTCAACCTTATTTGTTTTGCTCTTCTGTTAATTCTGTCTGTTTGCTGGGCTCAAAGGACGCACATAAATTGTCAGTTGTGTAGCGCAGACAAAAAGCGTGCTAATTGGATTTATATTGGGCATTATGAAAGGAACTTGGTAGCAACTTCTTGCCCTCCTTTCAAGTGTGAAAACATATCGCGGGCTGCTGTTTTCCCATTGCCAATGGGAACAATTGTAACAAACTATTACGTAGGATATTAGTGGGAGCGAAGTGCTGAGGTTAAAAGTTTTTTAAAGGGATAACTTATCCATCAGCTATTCCATATTGATTGCAAATTTAAGTAATATGTGACTAGTTTTCTTAATGAATTCCGAATTCAATAAACTAAAATGTCCAGGATGTGAGAGTATGCACACTTATACATAAGTATAGTACTTTAAGGTATAATATATGAAGTATTTATATATATGCAAATGTGTTTTAGCCATCTTCCTCTATTTGACTTAACTTTTTTATATTTATCTCAAAGTTCTTAACGCAATAAAATATGTTTTTTGGTAAATTTAACATATTTTATTGGCACTGAACGTTGTGTCAAATATCTGTTTAATTTGGCGGAACAAAGGGTTTTCAATTTTGATTGAATAATCTATTAATATGTAAGTTCGAGCGAGTATATATGCAAACTCAACTTATTCACTTGGTAAAATGTGTTATAAATCGCATGGAAATTAAAGGAACTACCAGGGATGCGCTGTGCTGCATTTATGACCTCTCTTCATATCACTTGAAGGTCACACATAAGCCATTGCTGTAGGGGCTTCAACAGGGCTCATAAGCCGGCGGATCGTGAGGATAAATAACAGTCGTTCGGACTGGCACATGCTGCAACTCCTACACTGTGACTGGAGCATAACGTATAATTGATGATATGACCTCATTCGCACAGCACTTGCCCCGCCCGAATTGATGCCAAGCAGTTTGGCGGCGATCTTCACGCCTTGACATCTTGACTTCTATGGCTATGGCAATACCCAAAGCCAACATCATGGCAAGCTGTGCCGTTGTTAGACCTTCTGTGGTCGTCGTCGTCGTATTACCAGGTAATTGTAACGTCAGCTCTAGCACGGGCTCGAGCTCGGCAGGTGACACAAATGCAGATGCCTCCGGTGCTGCAGCCAGACACTAATGACCAGGCCAACGACGAAGACGACGACGTGCCATGCGCCACAGGATGTGTCTGCGGCGTTGTCGAGAGGTGTGAAGAGTGGCCAAGTCTCTGAGTATGTGTGTGTGTTGTTGTTGCTTTTATGACTCCTGCCGCGCCTCAAGTGTGCCCGTGGTGATGTTGTGGGTTTTTCCTATTAAAAGTGTTTGGTTTTAACTTTCAATTTGGATTTAATTAGCTAGCAAATGTTGACATATTGCCAGGAGCCAAGCGAAGCCCAAGGCTTGCGTGTGGTCGCCTCTGCAAAGATGCCTAGATATCGGCACCTTTCGCTGGAACCTGGCATAGTTACTATCTAAGTGCCATCTAATAGATTAGGATTTGCCAAGTGTCGCCCTACCAAACCAAACAAAAAATCTCCAATTCAGTTCGATTGTCAGAACGCATAATTTATTGTGCACACTCATTAGATCGTGAGGCGATTGTCTGTTCTAAATTAGCATCCCATTCTATTTGCACTTGGTTTCTAATGCGCCCCTAGCGCGGCAGGGTGGGCAAAACCAGCAAACCATCCCTCCGAAAAAAATAAAAATAAATAAACACGAAACGTTAAATGCACATTGACTAATGAAATGTTTGGCGATTTCGATTCCGATTTCGATTCAGATTCGACTTCGAGTGCCCGCGCGAGAGGTCGTTCTGGGCCAAATGATTTGAGTAATTTATGGCCCACAAAACAATTGCACATGATTTTGCCTCTAAAAATGCGACAAAAATATCAAATTTTGTGTTTGCATTCGATAGATTCATTTGTTTGTGTGTTTCGCCATGCCATTTGCCTGTGTTTTTATGCCAATTTGCATTTGATAATACGCCCGCCAACTATTGTCACCAGAATGTTGGCTAATTAGAGGGATTTGTTTTCCAGTTTTTATGGCCTCATGGAGCGCCAGCAATGCGTGTGCCCGTACCCGAACCTGGAGCAGCACATGGGCACGCGTCCTAGGTGAGCCGCAAAATAGATAACTTTTTTTTCATTTGGAAATTTATGGCAAAGCGCATTTGCCAAATTGGCAGGCGTGAAGAGAGAATGAATGTGAAATGTGTAGATACAAATGTGGGTAAAAATCAAGTAAAATAAACTGGCATTTGATATGCCTAATGCCAATACTCAATACACTTAAATTCAACTGCTTTCAGCTTTACTTTTAGTAATGCTTAAATTATTCTTAAAGATTCATTTATTAAGCAACTAAAGTTAGTCTCTATTGTATATCGACCAAGTCAGCTTGTTTAATATAAGGGCTGGATGGACGGTCGGACTTGGCCCGATAGTTGACTTGGCTCTTGATCCTGACTATGTTAGAGCCTGCCTCCATTTGTCTGTTATTCTCATAAAGCGTATAGTTAAAATGTTATTGGAAGCACAAGACAAAATGTTGGTTTTATAAAGTTCCCTCTAGTTTTGCGATGTATAACATCTAACATTTTTGTATCAAATGGATAACATTAATGGCACTCCTCCAGTCAATAGAAGTCACATATCCATTAGCAGCTGCCTTGACAGATATGCTCCTCCTTCTCACATGAGCATATGCAAAAATAAGTGTGTGTGGATGCGAAATAGATGAGCACACTCTATAAGAATAATCCTCCCCAGTCGAATAATCGGGCGCGACATAAACAACAATTGACAAACGGTAAAAACTGTCAAAGGCAATTGTCGCAGTCTTTGTTCGTTTGGGCACAACAAACTGACAGACAGACAGACAGACAGACAGACAGACAGACAGACAGACTGGCAAAGTGATTGATCATATGATGAGCTCTTTGATTCCCAGCTATCTCCGGGACGGGACGGGGCTATGACTGGGCGCGCTCGTACATCAATTTCGAGTGGGCCTCTAAATGAACGTGGGAGTTTCTGGTTTGCACCTTTAGTTTTGCGTCTGGCTTGGCCATGCGAAGCACGTGCCGCAGACTCGAGGCGCTGCCTAGCATGTAAATCTGTATGTGGCACTTGCAACAGCTCCACAACAGCAGCCGCCTGCTGTCTGCTGTCTGCTGCCTGCCGCCTGCATAAACTCGTGCAGCAGAAGAAGAAGAGGTGCAGCTGCTGGGCTGGCGGCTTGCCGCAGTCTTTGCCACTTCCTTTTCGTGGTCTGTTTGAGAATTTAACCCGTGCCGTCTACGTGCTCCGATGGAGTGTGCTGCCAGAGAGCTCATAGCATTCGGAGCTAAATTAATTGTTGTTATTATTTAGTTGCATTTTGTAGCATTCTGGCCGATAGCACCTGTTGGCCATGGCCCGCGCACATTTATTGAATTTTAATAAACTGTGATCCTTTGATTTCGCATGCGCGCACTCTTCATTTCTATAATCGCCTCTGATGTGCTGATAACTCCCGACTCTGCCTACTGGCTGGCCTTCATTCAGCTATAATCATAATCGTAATCGCAGTCGTCAACATAATCGTAATTAAGTTAAGCGTCTATATATGTATATATATATATATATATATGAACCGTTCATTTTTGGCGTCTGCCGGCTGGCCGACTGGCCGACTGGTCTGCGGCAGCACCTTGTCGTAGGTCATGCGTGCCGCTGGCCAGTCGGATTGTCGTCTGGATCGGTCGCACCTAAGTGGCCTGGCGCTACGCTACTTTTGCCAACTTGATTGCTTATGCGCATATATATGCGGGATGAATTCAATTGTGTCCAGATTTCACATCTTGTTTTACTAGCTAAGACCCAACGAGAGAGTTGTCGTCCAGCTGAGGCTTACAAACGAATATATATTTCTTTTATTTATTACTTATTAATGGTCGGCAAACGAGTTTCAGCTAAGATGGACGTTGTTAGACCAGAAAGAGTATTTTTAAGCGAACATTCAAAGCAATCTTTAGTATATATTTAGCATATATAATAAATTAGAAAGAATAGGGAGGAAAAAGTTATTAAAAAGAGTAAAGGAGTAAGTATTACAATATGGAAAATTTTAATAACAGTTTCTGTTTTGTTAATTAAACATTCATACAATTGGTAAATTGAACTATATTTAACTTGAAGGAGCCCAGGTGGTTTTTACACTCTTTGTCTCACTAAAATATCAAACATAT